AATCAACTATCAAAAATAACCTCTGTGCTCACAGCAATGGTATAATTTTTTTGCTCTTCCAATCCACTTCCAGCTGTGTTCTTCCTCCATCTACTCACCAAAATATTCAACACCCAAAACTATGTCCATGTGTAAATAACCAACTACTGTAATGCAAGAAAAAAAAAATTCTTAAACGTGACTAAGGGTTCAAATATTTAAAAAGATTGCACAGCGCTTTATGGTCTGTGTATGCTTAAGCGACTTATGCCATTTTACTGATGGCTAAGCGATCTGCTCCTATACACCAGACTTTTACCAGATCACTTAAGGGATCTATCTGTTGTCATTACAGACCTACAGATCGCTTAGCGATCCATCATACCTAGAACAATTTTAAGTTATCTCACCTACAATCGATCTCATACCCAAAACACATACCATAACAAAATTTCAACAAATTTCAATCATTTCAACTTGCATTACATCAAACACAACCAACAACAATAAACACTAATCAAAATCATAACCCAAACCCATCCATTTTAAATCTTTGTAAATCTAAAATATAAAAGTAAAAAGGAGAACACATACTTAGACGAAATGTCAGGAGGAGGAGGAGGGGAATCTTTGGCGGAGAGGAGTTAATGGTGGAGGAACAAGAAAGTGTTAATGGCAGAGGAACAAGAAGATATAGAGGATGAGGAAGAAGAGATGTAGACGAGGAGAAGAAGAAGATGTAGAGAAGCAAAGTAAAGAAGAAATATGAGAAGAGTGCAAGAGGGGTAGAGATGCGTAATTTCCCTGGAGGCAGTTTTGAACGAAGAAGGTGTTTGGGTTTGTTTGCAACAATTTCGGGTTTGTGGGAATATAGTATAATTTTGAAAAGATTACATAATACTTCATTAATCCTAATTAAGCACTAATTACCTTTAATCAATAATATGGCTATTTAGTTAACACTTTAAAACTTGATAGCCTTTTAATTAAATGCAAACTTCAGATGGCCTTTTAATAAACTACCCCTTATCCCACATCTTCCCTGAGGTTTCAGTTTCTGTTCACACTTCCAAAAGTATAAAAAATTACCTTGGACTCCCTCTACATTTGAAGAATTATCCACGACCTCCCTTCATTGGCCTTGATTTTATATATTTATGAGTTTCATTTTAATTGTTTTTTAAGGAAAAAGCTTAATTTTACCAAAATCCATTTTTTAACTTTTTACCAAATTATCTTGAGCCCCACACTGTTCAATTCGTCTCAAGTTTGATAGATATCCCAAAGGGAAAACGATCTATAATTGTTAGACTGGTAGTTGTCTCACAATTGGTGACATTTTGTGGTAATTTTATGGCTACTCACCGTGTGGATTGAAGATGCACATGTTACTACTGTCTGTAGAAGCCTTAATGCAGGAAGAACAAAGGCTCTATTAGTAGCTAGTTAGGAGACTTTTGCATGCCTCTGCAATTTTCATATAAATGTTTAAGTTGATGTCAATAAATTTGGGTTTGGTTCAACTTAAAGTGTAGTTTAGAAAGAAATATTATTGGATTATTAGTATAATCAGTTAATTAGTTTAGTTAGCTAATCAATCTGTCAGTTAGTTGTTAATTAATTGTTATGGTTAATTAACTGTGATTGACTAACTATGGTTACCTGTATATATATAAGCTTCTCTGCTTGTAAACGAATCCCTTAAGCTGAATAAAAAATTTTCTTCTCTCAAATGCAATTTGTTCATGGTATCAGAGCAATGTTTTTCAACTGCAAAATTAGTAGCTTCAATTAAAGATTCAAGTTAGAATCGACTCTAGAATTAACTCTGTTTTCCTTTTTCTTCTTCATCTCTATGAAATAAGAGTAATTTCATTCAGCTGTTACTTGAAATCTGTTGTTAATTCGGCTGAATTCCTGCACAAAGCTGAAATAAATTCATCTCAGAATGTCGAATGTCACTGACTCGAGTTCACCTCTCTACATACATCCATCAGATACACCTGGTTCAGTTCTTGTTTTAGAGCAACTTACGGGAATGGAAAATTATGGAATTTGGAGCTGTGCGATGATTGTTTCTTTAAGAGCAAAAAACAAATTAGGGTTTGTTGATGGATCTTGTGAGAAGGCAAGTTTCAATCAATCTTTGCATGCACAGTGGGAACGTTGTAATTCCTTAGTGTTAGCTTGGATCTTTAACACTATTTCAAAGGAAATATTCAACAATATTGTATACTCTAGTAGTGCACGATAGGTCTGGCAAGATCTTTAAGAACAATACCACAAGGTCAATGGCACATGAGCCTTTGGTATCTACAGAGAGATAGTTAACATGGTGCAAGGAACTCACTCAGTTGCAGTATATTACAACAAACTGAAAACTCTATGGGATGAACTCAGCTCATTGGTGAGTTTGCCACCACCTGACAGTGAATCAACTAAAGCATATTTGGCACATCATAACCAACAAAAACTTCTACAGTTCCTTATAGGACTTAATGACTCATATGCATTGGTGCGAAGTCAAATCCTATTAATGGTTCCCCTACCTTCTGTCAAACAGGCTTATTCAATTGTAAGTTAAGATGAAAGCCAAAAGGTCTTGACTGGATTTAATCAGAACACTGAAGTTACTATGGCTCTTTACTCACAAGGGAATCAAAGAAATCAGACTCAAAGTTCAAAATATAAAGGAAAAAAGCCTTATGTTGAATGTGATTACTGCCACATAACAGGACACAAGAAGGATAATTGTTACAAATTGCATGGATATTCGACAGATTTTCAGTTTACCAAGAGTAAGTCAGGATCAAAAGCTAGAGCCAATCAAGTTCACTCAAGTCAAGAATCAGCTTCACAAACGCAATCAACAACCGACAGCAACAAAGGAGTTAGCTTAGGCAATGTTTTAACTCCAAAGCAGTATGCTCAATTGATTCAGTTACTGGGCAAGGAGAACTTGGGAACACCATCAGCTAACATGGTAGGCAATATTGTTTCCTTATATTCAAATTGTGGTGTTATTAATGATTGGATTCTTGACTCGGGAGCCACTGATCATATGACTCATAGTGTCTGAAATTTTACATCATCTGTTGGTAATAAATCATCTACACCTGGTATGTTAGTCTCCCAAATGGAACAAAAGCATCAATTCAACATATAGGTACTGTCAGCCTACAAGAAAAATTGTCACTAGATAATGTTCTATACATACCAGATTTTAAGTACAATCTGCTATCAATTTCTAAGTTAGCCTCTGATGGTCAGTGTTCTGTCACTTTTTATCTGGATTTTTGTGTGATCCAAGATCTTTGGAGTGGCAGACTAAAGGGGATTGGTAAGCAATACCAGGGGCTATATCACTTCATGCCAATCTCAAAAATCAGCTCATTTTTTCTTGGTTTTGTTTCAGCCTTAAGTACACATTTGGGAATCAAAGTTTCTGATTGTAATAAAGAAACATATTGCAAATCTCTCAATGTAGCTATTGATTCTTCAATAAACACATTGTCTCAAAATAAGGATGTTGTTCTTTGGCATAGGAGATTAGGACATGCTCCCTTATCAATCTTGCAGGATTTACATCATAATTTTAATAATCATTACAAGTTCTATTGTGAAACTTGTCCTTTAGCCAAACATACCAAGTTATCTTTTCCTACCAGTAACGCAACCACTTCTCACGCATTTGAACTGCTACATTTGGATGTTTAGGGCCCTTACAAGGTTGCCACTCAAGGTAATGCACGATTCTTTCTCACTATGGTAGATGATTTCACTAGGATCACATGGATATTTTTACTGCAGTTCATGTCTGATGTACTCCAGACTTTGAAGAATTTTTGCAAATGGTTCAGAATTAGTATCATCACACTCCTTAATATGTTAAAACTGACAATGGCACATAATTTTTCAATAATCAGTGTTGTGAATTGTTGTCTAGCTTAGGGATTATACACCAAAGCACTTGTGTCTACACTCCACAGTAAAATGGAGTGGTAGAACGCAAGCATAGGCACATTCTTGCCATTGCCAGGGCTTTAAAATTCTAATCTCAAATCCCTGATTACTTGTGGGGATATGCTGTCAAAGTTGCAGTATATATAATCAATCGGTTACCTAGCAAAGTTTTACGTGGATTATCTCCTTTTGAGAAGTTTTATGGCCATAAGCCAAATTTGGATCATTTGAGAGTCTTTGGCTGTTTAGCCTATGCTTCCAATATGCCTATTTAAGACAAATTTGCTCCCAAATCAGTACCCTGTGTTTTCCTTGGGTATTCATCCACAAAAAAAGGTTATATACTATATGATTTGACTTCTCAAAATATTTGCATTAACAAAGATGTTTTATTTTATGAACAAATTTTTCCTTTCTCATTACAGCAACCTCCAAAATTTGTTTTTCCTCTTGACATTTATGCTGCCACTTTTATGGAAGAAGAGCCTACTACATACTCTACTCCCCATATTCCTGAAATAGATTCAACTCTACCTAGCTCTTCAGCCTCCCCTGTACCTCCTGCACCTTCCTCTGTTTAAAATCCATCTCATACACCACTAGTATCTACCACTCAGATTCGGAGATCCAGCAGACCTACCAGGCCTCCCATTTGGACCACTGACTTTGTATGTCCTACCTTGCCCAACTCCAATCAGATTAGCCTTTTAAAGTACCCTGTTCACAACTATCTCACATATGTCAATCTGTCACTAGCCTATCAAACCTCTTTGTCCAGTATTTCAACTCTTTCTGAGCCTACTTCTTTTACTCAAGCTTCCAAGGATCCTTATTAGGTTGCAGCCATGCAAAAAGAACTTCAGGCCTTGGAGAGAAATGGTATTTGGTCCCTTGTTCCTCTACCTTCCAAAAAGACTCCAATAGGGTGCAAATGGGTTTATAAACTCAAATATCATGCTGATGGGACTCTAGAGAGATATAAGGCCAGATTGGTAGCCAAAGGTTTCACCCAGTAGGCCGGAATTAACTATGAGGAGACATTTTCTCCAGTGGTGAAGATGGTGACTGTAAGGCTGGTTTTGGGTATTGCTTCTATGAAAAACAGGCCATTATTTCACTTAGATGTTGACAATGCTTTTCTCCAAGGGGACCTTCAAGAGGACATTTATATGCAGGTGCCACAAGGCTTCTCCAATCATCATGATAAGTCCTTAGTGTGCAAATTCCATAAGTCATTGTATGGCTTGAAAGAGGCTTCCAGGGCTTGGAACACTAAGTTGACCAACGCTTTGCTGCCTAATGGTTTCTTTCAATCTCCAGCGGATCACTCATTCTTCTATAAGCGAAATCACAATCAGATTATGCTTCTACTGGTGTATGTTGATGACCTGGTCATCACTGGCAGTGATAGTATGTTGATTGCAGAAACTAAAGCTCTCTTGCATTCCAACTTTAAGCTTAAAGATCTTGGTTCTCTCAAATATTTTTTAGGCTTTGAAGTTGCTCGATCTTCTAAGGGAATTTGTCTTTGCCAACGAAAGTATGCCTTGGAATTAGTTGCAGATTATGGCTTAGCTGCTGGCAAACCAGCTTCTATTCCTCTTAATCCACAATTCAAATTCACTACTATGGACTTTGATAAAGCTTTTCCAACAACATCAGCTTCACATCAGCAGGGTCTTCCCTTAGATGATCATACAGTTTATCAGAAATTGGTTGGCAAATTACTCTATTTATGTCTCACCCGTCCAGATATTACATTTGCTGTCCACTTGCTTAGCCAGTTTATGCATAACCCTAAAGACTCTCATCTCCATGCGGCCTTACGCTTTGTCAGATATGTTAAAGGTTCCCCAGGCTTGGGGTTATTATTTCCTGCTCATGGTTCCTTTCATCTCCAAGCATTTTGTGATTTTGATTGGGCATCTTGTTTGATGACCCGTAAATTGATCACTGGTTTTTGCATCTTCTTGGGGCATTCTTTAATCTCTTGGAAATCAAAACGTCAAGCTACAGTCTCTAAGTCCTCTTCTGAAGCTGAGTACCGAGCTATGGCATCCACTATTTGTGAGCTGATTTGGCTTATTCAACTTCTTCAGGACCTTGGTTTTTTCCCTCAACTGCCTATTCCTCTTGGGTGTGACAACAAGTCTGCATTACACATTGCTTCTAACCCTATCTTCCATGAACGAACTAAACACATTGACATCGACTGCCATATAGTTCGTAACAAGCTCAAGGATGGTCTGGTGCAACCTGTTCATGTCCCTACCAAGGATCAGCCAGTCGATTTGTTCACCACAGCTGTTCCCTCTACTCTTCATCCGCATTTACTGTCCAAGTTGGGGGTGCTTGAGCTCTATCACCCACCAACTTGAGGGGGGATACTGGATTATTAGTATAATCAGTTAATTAGGTTCAGTTAATTAGTTTAGTTAGCTAATTAATCTGTTAGTTAGTTAGTAATCTATTAATTAGTTGTTAATTAGTTGTTATGGTTAATTAACTGTGGTTGACTAACTATAGTTACTTGTATATATATAAGCTTCTCTGCTTGTAAACGAATCCCTTAAGCTGAATAAAAAATTTTCTTCTCTCAAATGCAATTTGTTCAAATATTAGCGGGTTTTATAATGAAGGGGTCTTTAGGCGTTCGAAAAGGTGCCTGGACAGGGGAGGAAGATGTACTTCTTAATTAGAAAGTATGTTGAGAAGTATGGGGAGGGAAAATTGTATCAAGATCCTCTCATAGCAGGTAATTTAGTTAATTATTTGCTAACATATTTCCTACATCATGAAATATTGGCTGCATGCTTGAAAATTTTCTTGTATTTTTCTAGGTCTAAATAGATGCTGGAAAAGCTATAGATTGAGGTGGCTGAACTATCTGAAGCCAAATATCAAGAGAGAAGACTTTGAAGCTGATGAAGTTGACTTGATTCTGAGGCTTCGTAAGCTGCTAGGCAATAGGCAAGTACAGAAGATTTAAAACAAAGAATAAGTCTATCTTTACAAAGAAGCCTACAAAGAAGTTTACAAAGTGAAGAAAAAAACAAAGGAAAAACGAAAAAAGAGAAAGAGAGACAGAAATGATGAAGATGAAGGGTGGAGGTTAACTTTGTATGCCTCCTTTATAGGTTTCTTTGTAAGACTAGCACTGCTGTAAAACAAAATATATCAACTCAGTTCATCTATTATAGTTAGTTTCTCAGGAAGTCTACTTGTATTAATTTTTATAGAATATTTGAATAGATGGTCTCTTATTGCGGACAGGCTGCCTGGAAGAACAGCTAATCACGTGAAGAACTACTGGAACACACATCTCCGCAAAAAGCCTGTAATTTCCTGCAACAAAGATGCGAAAGGAAAGGCTCAGAAGACAGAATCAGAATGTGTCAAAGTAATAAAACCTCGACCTCGGGTCTTATCTAAAAACTCACCATTGATGAAGAACGAATATTCTCTTATTGGAAACAGCATTCAACCCGGATACGATCTTTGCAAGAAGCCTTTGGATCCCCATAACAATAATGAAAATACGTCGTGGTGGGAAAGCTTGTTAAGTACAGGAAATGAATTTGATGAAGACGCTACTTCAGGAAATGAGATGGAAGTCAACAGTACTTTTAATGAAACCATAGAGGACGCTTTTGGATTAGACTTGTCTCTTCAGGATTTGAACATTTGGAATCTTTAATTTCAGTCATATTTAGTATATATATGTACTATGTTATAAATTTAACCCGATTTGGGCTTGCAATAATTGTGTAAATAAGACGTGTGCTTTTAAGGCAGGAATAATACCATACGTACTTGAGTGTTTAACCATCGTACTAATCTTTATAAATATAAATATGGTACACAGTACTATAAATAGAATATAAATACCATAGTAATTTTAACAATATTAGTAAGATGGTAGTAAGATCCGTGAGTACGCATAGCATTACTCTTTAAGATACATATGCTTGAACATGCGTTCTTTCTATGTACAAAAAATAAAATTTAATTATTTTGATGTAATGGTTCCTATGAACGCATATGTTTATTATTTCAGAGGTCTTGAATTTGAGTCTCTTTGTAGTTATGATAAAGAAATTACTAAATTTTTACTCGATCGATAATTCTAGGTTTTGAGAGATTAGTTGAAGTAACTGTAAGTTAGTCCAACACCTCATCATCAAAAAAAAAAAATAATAATAAAATTCTGTGACATGTTAACAATACGTCATATGTAAAAGATAACATTATTTTGTTGATCAAATTATAATAATCTTGATAAAACTAGGGTTGAGCACGGTTAGCGGGTAGAACCGGAACTAGGGATAAGAACCAGAACCAGAACCGGAACCTACCCAGAACCTGCACTGTGCGGGTAGGTTCCGGTTCCAATTTTTTGGAACCGCTACGTGGCGGTTCCGGTTCTGGTTCTTGCATGTGGAGGAACCGGAACCGAATCGAAACCTTAAAAAGGGTACCCTGTTTGGAACCTGTAGGGGGTACCCGGTTTTGGAACCTGTTTGGAAACCTGTTTTGGAACCTGCTTTGGAACCTATTTTGGAACCTGTTTTAAAACCGGTTTAAAAACCTATTTTGGAACCTGGACTAAAATGAAATATTTGTGAAATGTAAATAGGGGGAGTTTCTAATATTTTACATATAAAAAATTAAAATAGAAAAAGTTAATTTTTAGAATAACCTAATTAAATAAATAGAGAATATAATTATACTTATTACATATAAATTACACCATATTAAAAGCTTTAATATATTATAATACATTAATATTAAGTTTTGATCATTAAGTGATAATTGGAATTATGATCCAATTAAAAAAGTGTTTACATTTTTAATTGTTATTAAAAGAATTATTTTTGAATTAAATAGTATATCTGATTGAGTAATAATATTATTTTAGTTACTTTCAATTATCAAGTTCTAAGTATATATATATAAATTAGTAATTAATTAATTATATATGATAAATTGATAAACATTAATAAATTTATTACAGTTAAATATTATACTTAATCAATTATAACATACATTTAGTTAAATGATACTTAATTAATTAATAATTTTATAACATTACTTAATTGATTTATAGTATAATTAATATATCATTACATTAATTGATTACTACTTAACTAATTGACTTATAAGTTATAACATAATTAATAGTTAATTAATGGACTTATAATTAGAATTTAATTAATTATAGCATTACGTTATAGATTATAGTATAATTACTTAATCAATTATAACATTTATTTATAACATTAGTACAAACTTAATTAATGATTAAAATTTAATTAATTATAATATTACATTAAAATTTATAGTATGATTACTTATAGTTATCACTATAACATTACTTAAATTATGATTATATAATTAATTATAACATTACATATTAATATTACTTAATTGATTATGTCATTATATAATAAATATTAGTAATTACTATTTACTACATAAACATTAGCATAATACTTAATTAAATGATAAGAAATTTAATTAATCATAACATTACCTATAACATTTCATTATAAACATTAATTAAACATTACATTATAGTTAAATAATTACTCAATAAATTAAATATTATTATATTACATTATATATTATGATCACTTACTTAATTATAGCATTATATAGTTAAATGATTGTATAATTACATAATAGTTATGAATTTATAACATTAATTATAAACATTAGTAATTTACTAATTTACTATATTATTACATTACTTAATTAACCGATTAAAAAATTTAATTAATTATAACATTACTTTATATATTTATAATATGATTACTTAATCAATTATAACATTCCATATAAACATTAGTATATTAATCAAATGATTTGAAATTTAATTAATTATAATATTAAATTATAGATTTATGTATGATTACTTAATTCATTATAACATTACATTATACTATTATAGTGTGATCATATAATTAATATAACTACATATTAAATGATTACTTAATTGATTATGTATTATGATATTAGTTTTAAACATTAGTAATTACTAATTTACTAACTAAACATTAGCACAATACTTATTAAATGTAAGAATTATTAATTATAACATTACCCTTATAAACATTAATTAACATTACATTATAGTTAAATAATTACTTAATTAATTATAATATTATTATATTACATTATATATTATGATCACTTACTTAATTATAGCATTACATAGTTAAATGATGTAACGCCCCCACTTGAGGTACGTAGTTACTGTTCTTTTCGTTTGCTTTTATTTGAGATGATAATCGTGGTAATATGTTTGATTGACATTAGTATGAGTGTTGTGTTGATTAATTGCCTTGAAATTGGTTAAAAATAGAAGTAGAAAGGTGTGTCAAGCTTCGCCGGGGCGAAGAAGAATCTTCGCCGCGCGAAGAGATGGGGAAACCAAGGGAAACTTCCTGGACAGTTTCGCCGCGGCGACAGATGTTTCCTCGCCGCGGCGACGGTCCGACCAAAATGTTTACCAAGTTTTAGATATTTTTCTTCATTGGCAATTTGACCATTCTACCCCTAATTAGCAGGAAAAGTGGGGAGTAAATTGTAAGAAATTTCAAGGAGAATATGTTAGTTTGGGGGTGTGTTTAGTGATCAAGGATATGATGGAATTCCATAAAAGAGCAAGGGCAAAATGGGAAGAATAAGTATTAAGAGTTATTAAAAAGGGTTTACCTTTGAAAGTTCTTCATTTTTTTCAGTTTCACTGCCTCCTTCATTCCTCTAAACTCTCTCAATTTCCTTCAATCTTTCAAGGATCCAAGAGCCTTTTTGAGAAACTTTTAGTAGGGTTTAATCTAAAGCTTCCTAAGGTAAGGATTTGTGCTTTAGATGAAGTTTTCCTATGTTTTGATTAGAACTCATGTTGTGATTGTTGGTTAAATTGTGAGGAAAAGCAAGCTTCCAAAGAATGAGAAGTGTTAAAGAAGCTAATTTCTCATAAGGTAAGTAAACTCAACCTAAGTTGAGATCTAAGAATTCTTTTGAGTAGATTTAAATACATATGTGTATTCTTTAATTGTTGAATGAGATTAGTAATTATGTTTGATTTATGAGTTATGAAGTGTGGTATTTGCTTGATGTTGGGGTTAGTTGATTGGAGTTGGAGGAGGTTTTGAGCAAGATTATGGAAGTGTTTCCTTTTGATAGAGAATTTAGGGTTTATGAGGGAGTCTTCTCCCATTTGTTTGATTAGACAGAAAAGTTAGAGTTAGAGTAGAGTTATTTATGCACATGATTTGTATGATGAAATGCTCAAAAGAATCATAAGTGAGGATAGAAAGCCTTAATTGGTGCTACATGTCATAGTTACTTCTCATAATTGCATTAATGAGAA